TTCGGGCGTTATGTCCCCGACATACACCCGCAGACAACAAGCCTCACCTTCATTGCAGACAAGTTGCTCCTCGAGCACAAACTCAATGGAGCCTTTTTCAAGCGCTATGCCCCCGACATACGCCCACAGGAGATAAGCCTTACCTCCACTGAAGGCAAGCTACTTCTCGAGTACAAACTTCATGGAGTCCTTTTTTAGCGATATGTCCCCGACATACGCTCACAGGCGACGAGCCTTACCTCCATTGTAGGCAACCTACTTCTCGAGTACAAACTCAATGGAGTCTCTTTCAAGCGCTATGTCTTCGGACATACACTTACAAGATACAATGAGAATAGAAGTTTGAAAGACAACTGAAAATTCCATTATAAAGCGGCCAACCAGCCAAGTTCAACAAGAAATGAGCCTAATTCTGCTCAGTCGGCACCATCTGCTCAGCAGCCCAAGCTGCCTCCTCCTTCACATCTGCCCTAACCTCATCAGTCGCGCCACCTTTGGCGTCATCTTCCTCCGTTGCAGCTTCATCAGCTACTTGCTCTTCAATTGCTTCTACGCCCACAATATTGATCTGCTCACTTTGAGCAGGGGGCAAGTTAAGATAGAGCTGCTCACCATCCTCATGTTCAAGAGGGCAACAAGGAGGAGCACCGTTCCTGCAGTCAAAGTATCCCAGCTTGTATGCATTAGCAGCAATTTCTTGCTTGGATGCCTCCATGGCTTCCACATGGGTGTTAAACTTGGCTAGCAGCTTGTCGCGATCCTGGACCAGAGCAGTATGTTTACGTTCGAGGTGAAAGTAGGCTTCCTTGCGTTCGAGCAGAGTAGCCATAAGAGACTCAAGCTCACCATCCTTTTGGCCAACAGAACTCTTAAGTGCGGACATACTCTCGTTCATCTTGGAAATACTCGCATCATGGCGAATCCGCTCGTTCGAGAGCTTGTCAGCCATATCAGCATTTTTCTTCACAAGCTCGTCAAGCAGGACAGAAGAGGGGGCAACAGCACGTGAGTTCTGCATGGCCCCAACACCAAAAATCATGAGAAAGTGCCAAGGTCACCAGCTCGATACATGTGGTCAACCAGCTTCGCACAGGCAGTTGGACTTGACATGAAGCCCGTTTTAAGCAGATTAGACACGGACTCACCCCCAGCAGGGTTACCACCAATTCCCGGACCGTCAGTTCGCGCAGCTGAAGGACTCTTTGCTCAAGCAGACGACTCTTTAGCTCTCTTGGCCGCAACTTGCAACATCGAGTCAGCTCCGTGTTTGACTGTTCGTGGTCTTGCAGACGAGTCATGGTTTCTAGGCAGAAGTACATTCCTCTCAGTTTGATCTGCGGATCGGCATAGACGCCCCAAACCTTGCTTCTTAGCAGCCTGCTTACAAGGCAAATCACAAGTTTTGGGCAGCACGGGCGGAAACTTGAACAGAATATCCCGAACCTCCTGCATGCCATTGACCGTTTTGCTGTTCGAGCTGACAAGGCGTTTGGTCCCAGCAGACGAGGTATGAGCAACCCCCGTATGGACCTTCTCAGCAGGTAAGACCCCTCTTGAGGAAGACTTGCTCGTGGCAGAAGGAGGCCTCGACTGTTTTCGCTGTGGAGACGTATCCCTTGATCGTGAGACTGTGGCTTCATCGCGGGCAAATCTGCTGCTACCCTTCTTCTCCTCAGGGAACTTGGTCGAGGACTCCTCCTTCTCGACTGGCAGATCACTTAGGTCCGAGCCATGCAACTTCCATCTTTCAACATCTTCAGTAGGAGGCAGACCATCGACCTCCTTCCGATGTTCGCTCAGCAACCAACGCCGTTCACTGAACCGGACAGGGATGTTCAGAGCTTGCTGAACCTTGGACATGTTCGGGTTGAGATCGAGCTTCTTGCAGATGTTATTCTCTGCTAGCAGAAGATGGAAGTCAGTCAGATATACAAAGTACAACTTACCATCACAGTAGATGTGAGGAACGAGCGGACCGTCGCTGACCTCCCATTCCCATCTGCCGATGACTTCCAGCACATCCGTATGCCACGCATGACCGCCTTGACTCATACTATCCCTAGTTTGTGGCACAAAAAATTGAAGCAGTTTGGACCAACCCCAGTAACTAAGCTGGCCCGAACTGCCACCCGCTCTAGCAGCAGACCAGCGCACCTCTAGCCCAGTTACAGCAAGACTGCCCAAGTCAAAGTCCAATTGGCAAGTCAAAAACCTCCTCCACTCAGGAGCCCAAGTCACAGAAGGAAGCCCAATTACAGCTGAACAACCCAACATCTAATTCACACCTCCTCCATGCCGCCACGCGCCATGCAGAAGCTGGGGGGCATTTGTGGAAGCAAAATATCTCATTCTAGGTCAAATAATTAGGCCAATCAATTTGGGAATTATTTGACCTAATTTGGGTAGATGTCTTTGATTTTTGTCTTAATTAGGGATTTGATTAAATCCCTAACCCCTAAATACACCAACCCCACCAACCACACCAACCCCACCAACCTCGCCAAATTAAAGCCTCTGAGACCCTCTATAAATATTGGCTACACACGAGGATTGAGGTACGTCTGAATTCCTACTGAAACTCTACAAATTATTTCTCATAAACCCTTCTCCCTTCCTATTCTTTCTCTCTCTCTCTCTCTCTCTCTCTCTCTCTCTCTCTCTCTCACACACACACACACAAGGCTCCGCCCACCCAGTTTTCCTTGAAACACCCAACCTAACTTAGGCATCAGAGGGCCTTTGGCCAACACCCCCCGGGTGTGGTCCTTTTACTCCGATTTATTTTACAGGGAGAAAGAGAAGCGGAGAAGACGAAGGAATCTTGGGCGAATATTCTCGTGGGAGGAAATTTGCTCCCACAATAATCCACATTGGAAGAAGCCACATAACATGCCCCCGGGACCCCTTCAACTTCTCTGATGGAATTTTGGCCATACTCATCTAGAAGGTTTAACTTGTTTAGCACAGTGAACCGCCGTTGGTACTGTACGGTTGTTGATCGCCACCCAAAAGTCTCCAGCTTTGGTTCTCTTTATTTTAGCCAGTGGTCCCAAGCTACTGAAGTCAATCAATGTCGTTGTTTTAAAGTTTGGACCTTTGATCCAATACTTTTGGATCCTGTTGCCTCCGTAGAGACTAGGACAAATGTGCCGTGTAAACTAAGTGCGGTCCCATATGCCAAATGAAGGCTTGTCAACAGAACTCTTACTTTTTTGGTCTGAGGATCATATTTCAACAGCCTCCCTATTGCATCGGAGCAACAAGATTTTTTTTTAGGATAGTTAGCAATAATGTTCTACATAAATGATTTCATATGGTAGTCAATGCTAAAGTTAATGGGCAAACTTGGAATTTCAGAAATAGTGTGAGGACATAATAGGTTTAAAAATGAATATTTCAACACGCTCCAAAAATCAGAATACCATCCACACCCAAGAGTTCAATTCCTTCAAAATAAGGAGTTGAATTTGTGATATTGTGTATGCCTTACTTGTGTTTTCATTCTCTTATAAATAATGCATATCCAACATCTTATTTTGAGTCCAATTATGAATAAGTAAACATGTCATAAGTGAGGACGACTATCACTAGACCAAAGCCTAGTTCGTCAAAGTATAAATTGTTTCCATAATTAGCAGCATATATTGGGGTACAAATATATTGATAATATATGGTTATGATAATTTGTCAAATTGTCCCAATCTATATACTTTGCACCGCCATATTCGAAAGACAAAAAAAAAAAACATAGAGGGAGATACG